CTGAAAGAATGAATTATTATCGGATTCCACTGAAGTTTGTACACTGTGACCAAGAATTTAATAAGGCAAAAGAAATGAACATTGATTATAGCTCAAAGAGACTTCACGTTCTACTAGATAGCTCCTGCCTTTCCTCACAAATGTATAAGGTAAATGGATAGCGTCTATAGCTAAAGCAGACTGGGGAAGTCAGAAGACTGAAATGTAGGAGCTATTATGTAGGAACTCACTTATGTCCTTAACAGACAGAGAGGCTTCTGACAAAGCAGGTCCACTGTCAAATGAATGGCCTTGAGGAATGGCAATGGGGTGGCCTTAAGGACTAAGAACAAATAAACCATAATTTCAAAAATGTTGGCTCCACACCAGGATCACCCTTCTCTTCCCGGTATACCTCCTCAAAATTACCAATCCATAATGTTCATTTCTTCACTATTTCCAAAAAGCCCAAGTATTTTAGAAAAATGGATAAATACTATAGAGGCACAAGTATAAATGGTCAACAGACAACACTGCTTATTGAAATACTTTCTTCCTCTTCTTCTTCTTTTTTTTTTTTTTAAGAGATGGGATCTTGCTCTGTTGCTTGATCCTTGTAGCTAGGACCACAGGCATCATGCCTGGCTAATTTTTACAATTTTTTTTAGAGACAGGATCTCACTATATCGCCCAGGCTGGTCTTGATCTCCTAGCCTCAACCTCCTGAGTTGCTGGGGTTACAGGTGTGAACCACCATGCCTGGCTGAAATGACAATTTTAACGCTGATACTCTAAAACATAACCAGGTATTCTACTGTGTTTTCCAAAACAAACTGAAGGATAGAGACAGAACAAAACCAGCTAGAAAAAAAATTCTCTGGCAAAGATTTCAATGACACAATTAGCACCCACTCAATTCATCTATTATGAGAGCTTAATCTTATTTTGGCATTAAACTAAAATTGGTATAGGAATTGGAAGACTAATATTGGAAGACAGGGACTAAGCATGGCAATAAATGAATTGAGAAAAGTAGCAACCATGAGATCTCCTGGATAACTCCATCCAATACAGAATAAAACTCCCACAGACAGAGCACACTTCTAAGTTTGGAATAGTTTAACTTATATTCTTCCAAACCCTGTGATTCTTCACAAGTGTGAGCAGAAATATGGATATGATGTAGCAAAAGGCTACAGCTGCAGCTTGCAGATGTTGAGCTGTTACCTTTGTGATCAGCAACCATGCTGTCTACCTTGCTGGTGCTCCTCTGGTAGCTGCCTCCATCAGCACTCTGGGCTGTGCCCAGAAAATTGAGGGTGGTTCTTGTCGGACAGCACCCTTTGCAATCAAATAATGGAAACAGACTTTGTTATCTGGGAACTGAAATGCCAATATGATGATGTCTTAGTTTCCCCCTCTATAAAAATAAAAATACTACAATCTGGCTTTTATTTCCTATCCCTGGGGGGTTGTTATAAGGATAAGAAGCTTTGAAAATTAAAAGCACAAGGCAAATATAAGGCTATTATTATAGTGGGGACCAAATCCAAACAACATAAATGGAAGGTAGATGGGCACTTTGGCAGGGCAAATAACCATGTTTGCCATCAGAACAAACTCTTGAGTTCCAATATCTACTTTCATATTAAGAGGAAACCTCTGATAGTCATTAAGCAGGCATAAAGCATATAGAACAGATTGTGCTCTCTCCTAAAATGCCCTTCCTTTCCTGTCTCTGGCACTTTAGATACTCCTACTTTAAGGTCCAACTCAAATATCACCTCTTAATTAATCCTCTCTGATACTCCGAAACTGCATCTTGACAGAATTAAATCTTTCCACATCTGGACTCTTACAGCCCCTTACAAACATCTCTATGATGTCAATTGTCATATTATACCACAGGTGATTTGTTTCTGTGCCTCTCTCAAGTTCCCTCAGCTCTTCATTTTTATAACCATCGCTCTTCCTGTAACATCTTGATACACTGTATAGACATTGTAACTCTTTCCTAATTCTATTTACCTAGCTACAACACAGCATAAGAAAGGTTTCTATACCTTTTCTATTAAGGTAGAACTACCCAAGCTGTATGCCAAGGAATACTGGAGAAGTATGAATGATTATTATTTTATTGATATTGATTTTCTCAGCCTGAGACAGCAAATCAGAACTTTCTATATGTGTCATGATGTGAAAAGAAGTTGAGAAGCACTATAAAAAGAAGATTTAATATTTTTTTAATATTAAACTAATACAAAGGCAGAGTAAAGCAGTACACAAATTGTGACATCAATCAAGGCAACAAGAAAAATGCAATGCCCAGAATAATTGTTTCATATACTTCTGACGAGAAAATAAATGTTTCAGAACATTGGCATCAGATAAAGCATCATATCCTGAAAGAGAAAAATAACACAGCTACCTCGCGTAGCAGTCAGTCTGTGCAAACACCATATGGTCTGCTAATTTAATCAAAAATATCCCAGAATTTACTTTTTTCATCCTGCAGATAAAATGAAAATGAAATTGCTAGAAATATTTTAGAAATTATTCTGCCACCCCCAAATGTCTAATAAAATACAGTGCCCAAGCTTATTCATCCAACCTCCCTTTGAAAGCACAAAAACTTTATCAGCCACATTTTAAGAAAAACATAAAAAACCATCAGCTTAATCTTTTCATTTTCAATTTATTTTAAAATCAATCATTCTTTGCATCACCCACACCCCCAAATCCTCTGCCCCTCTCCATTCTACCTACAAGAGACAAAGCTCAGACCTCACCCATGTCTTGACCATTATCTCAAAATGGTCTCCCCAACGCTAAGATTGCCCCCAGAATATTCATCTTTTTCCCAGAAGCCTCCATCTGAAAAATGCCAACCAGGTCACACTTCCCTGCTTAAAAACAGAACAAAACTCTACTGTCTACAGGATAAAGTCCATGATCCTGAACACTGCATAGAAGGCACTCCATAGAAGACACCGGTTACCTCCCTGGTCCCGTTTTCCTCCAGTTTTTTTTTTGTTTTTTTTAGACAGAGTCTCGCTTTGTTGCCTAGGCTAGAGTGAGTGCTGTGGCGTCAGCCTAGCTCACAGCAACCTCAAACTCCTGGGCTCAAGCGATCCTACTGCCTCAGCCTCCCAAGTAGCTGGGACTACAGGCATGCGCCACCATGCCCGGCTAATTTTTTCTATATATATCTTAGTTGGCCAATTAGTTTCTTTCTATTTATAGTAGAGACGGGGTCTTGCTCTTACTCAGGCTGGTTTTCCTCCACTTTTGATCTCATACTTTACGGGGCCTCTTCTCTCTTCTCCAGGCTAACTTTCATTCATATGTGAAGAACTGACCTAGGTACCATCCTACAGGGGACACCTTTCCTGATTCACAATGCTAGGATAAAAGCTTCTCCTAGGTACAAATGTTCTCTAACCAGATGATAGGAACAAGGTAATAGCCTTGTTTTAGCTAAAAAGAAACTAGGTTAGTGCAAGGCTAAGCAGCAACACCTTCATTCCACTTCTCAACTTCCTTAGCTCTTGATCCTCTGCTGGTTTTAAGGTTGTCTTTCTAATCTACCTTTTATTGTATGTACCTCAAAACTCCTGAATACAGATGAGTGTTAAAGCAAAGAGACTTTGCAAATTGTTTATAGGGAGGAGTATATTTCTCTGTTATTAAATTAGACCACTACTATATATGAATGTTTCACATGCACCTTTCCATTGTCTTACCAACAAATGTATTCCTTTGAACCTTATTCAAAATTCTTTTTTTTTCCTGTGACACTCAGGCTCTATCGCCCTGAGTGTCCTGGCATCAGCCTAGCTCAAACTCCTGGGCTCAAATGATCCTCCTGCCCTAGCCTCTCGAGTAGCTAGGACTATAAACACTCACCACTCCAGGTGGCTAATTTTTTGTTTCTGCTTTTAGTTGCCTGGCTAATTTTTCTATTTTTAGTAGAGACAGGGTCTTGCTCTTGCTTGGGGTGGTCTAGAATTCCTGGCCTCAAGCGATCCTCCGGCCTTGGCACTAGAGTGCTAGGATTACAGGCATGAGCCTCTTACTCCAAATTCTTTAGTCATTCTTCGGTGATTCTGTTTATGCTCAAAAATATGAATGCAATTATCACAGGTACAGTCAGGATTATACCCAAGGAACTATCATCTTCATCATAATATATTCTCAAAAGGTGGGAGACATAATGTGCCATATACAGTGTTCCATCTCCTTGCATTCTCAAAACCATCACCTTTCAGTGGAGACCCTTCTTAGCTATTCTTCTCAACCTAACCTGGATCTTCTTAAACTCTTGCCCTTTCTCCTTAACACTTTCATTTTTGGTAACATTATGAATATAAAACATCTTTTTCATTTGTTCTGAGACAGAGTCTCACTCTGTTGCCCCGGCTAGAGTGCCGTGGCGTCAGCCTAGCTCACAGCAACCTCAATCTCCTGGGCTCAAGCAATCCTACTGCCTCAGCCTCCAGAGTACCCGGGACTACAGGCATGCGCCACCATGCCCGGCTAATTTTTTCTATATATATGTTAGTTGGCCAATTAATTTCTTTCTATTTATAGTAGAGACAGGGTCTCACTCTTGCTCAGCTTGGTTTCGAACTCCTGAGCTCAAATGATCCGCCCGCCTCAGCCTCCCAGAGAGCTAGGATTACAGGCGTGAGCCACCGCAGCCTAAAACATCTTAAATACACATAAAACATATACTTTAGAGTACATATATATTACTAATCACCTTTATTGCCCGTGTCTCTCATAAGAATTTAATCTCCATGAGGACAGGGACTTTACTCACTGACATAACTCCAATATCTAGAATAGTGCCTGGGACACAGTGAGCACTTAAACATTTAAATGAATATATGAAAAACAAGGACAATTATCTGAAAGTACCCTGTCCCCTTTCAATGTTCAATCCATCAATTTACCTCTAAAATATACCAAATCATCATCCTCTTTTATATTCCACTGCCATGAGCCTAACCCAAACTTACCATTTTTTACCTTCTGGTCTTGCTGCTTCCAGCCATGACCTATATAATTCTTTCTCCATACCACAGGAAGAATGACCTTCATAAAATGTAAATCAGATCATATTATTACCCTTCAATGGTTACTCAGCATTCAGAATAAAATCTAAATTCTTCACCCTGGCTTACAAAGCTCTACGTGAGCTGTCTGCTATCACTCTAATTTTATCTCTACCCTCTTCTCCTTATCCACATTATAACTGCACTGGCCCTTTATTTGTTGAACATATCAAGCTCATTCCTATCATAGGGCCTATGCACTGGAATATTCTTCCCTCTGATATCTACAAGGCTAATTCTTTATTGTCATTCAGAACACAGCTCAGTTTACTTCTTCAAACAGCCTTAACCTGACCACTTAATATGGATACCCTTTTTTTCTAACTGGCATCTATTGCTCAGTTCTCTCAGTTCTTTTATCCCAACTTAAAAACATTTTTATGCTGAAATAATCTCAAACTTACAAAAACAGTTCAAAGAATTCTCTTGATATCATGTACCTAAATTCACCAATTAATTGACCCATTTTCTTCTTATCACTTTTTTTTTCTAACTACCCATCTACCTAATTTTTGCCTAAACCACGTGAGAGTAAGCTGGAGATATTAACGTTATACCCCCTTAACCCTTAAATCTTAATTGCTAAGAGCTAGGACATTTACTTATCTGACTACAGTACAATTATCAATATAATTAACATTAATACCATATAACCATCTAATCTACAGACTTCATTCTAAAATTTGTTATGGAAAAGCAAAGCTGAGAGGCTTCCTAGAACCAGGGGAAACTGAGACAGCTGGTCACGCTATTACATGATGGAATACTACTCAGCCATAAAAAGGGAACAAACTACTGATACAACAACATGGATGAATCTCAGATGTATTACGTTAAAAGAAAGGAGTCAGACACAAAGGCTACACACTCTATGATTTCATTTATATGATGATCTGAAAAAGGCACAAACTATAGGGACTGAGAAGAGATAAATGTTTACCAGGGCCTAGGACAGGGGGAGGGACTGCCCATAAAGAGTCAGAAGGAAGCATTTAGGGACAACAGAAATGTTCTATGCCTTGACTGTGGTGGTGGCTACATGATTGTATGTTTGTCAGAATTCATAGAATTGTAAATCTAAAAAGAGTATATTTTGCTGTATATGAACTATATCTCAGTAAATCTTAACCTTTAAAAAATGATTAAGCACATAAAAGAAAATAATGAGAAAACAGGACTCAGGTTTTAAAAGCATATTTGTAAAGTAACTATATAAAATTTCTATAATAATGGACATTTTGAAGAGAATATCAGACAGACTTGAAAAACAAGGGAATATTGGAAGACAGATCTGAAGAAATCACCTAGAATGTAGTACAAAAACATAAGGTGAAAAATAAAAAAGGATAGGAAACATGGAGAATAGCATGAGAAAGTCCAACAAATAGGTAGCACAAATTCTAGAAAAAGATAACAGAGCAAAGGAGAGTGGGGAGGGGCAACACTATCAAAGAGATCATAGACAAGAATTTTCTAGAACTGAATAAAAATCAAAATCCTCAAATTAAAGGAGTAAACCAGCTGGGCACAGTAACTGACACCTATAATCCCAGCACTCTGAGAGGCCAATGCAAGAGGACTGCTTGTGTCCAGGAGTTCAGACCAGCCTGGGTACCATACTAAGACTCTGTCTTTACAAAAAATAAAAAATTAGCCACGTGTGGCGGAACATGTCTTTAAGTCCCAGCTATTTGGGAGTCTGAGGCAGTAGGATTGCTTGAGCACAGGAGTTCAAGTCTATGGCAATCTATGATCGTGCCACTACACTTCGGCCTGGGTAACAAATCGAGACCCTGTCTCTAAAATTAATTAATTAATTAAAGGAGTAAACTAAGTCCTGAGTACAAATAAATCTATAATTCACTTCATCATAGTATAACTGCAAAACACCAAAAGCCAAGAAAGAAAACCTTAAATGCAACCAGAGACGGGAAAAAGTAACTGAAAAAGGAACAAAAAAACCCCAGAATTCACCACTCTCAAGTGCTGATGGAAAATAACTGTAAACCTCATACTCCAACCTCAGTTAACTATCATTCAAGCAAAAGTGAAATAGATATTTTTGCAGACCAACAAAAGGAATTTACCACTTGGTTTCTCTAAGAACTACTAACAAATATACCTGGCAGGAAGGAACATTTTCCTAGAAGGAAAATCTGTGATAAAAGATCCAATACAAAAAGATAATTCAATAAATATATTGGTAAACCCCAAATTAATATGAGCTATAGAAATAATAGTAATTATTATTTTGGCTGAAAGTGAGTATAAAACACAAAATGTAAACAAAATCCTAGATAGCAATAATATGTAGAAAAAGGAAGCTGCTGAATTTGAAGTCTTCTAAAACCTCTGTATTTAAAAAAAAATATGAATGTGAATTAATGTTTTATACTTTGTTATGTCAAGTGTACTTTAACATTTTGAGTAATTGTCAAAATAATAAAAATAAAATATCTATCTTTAAACTTACCCATTATTTTTATTTATCCAGTTAAGAGTATATATTGATTTGTGTATGCAAAATGTGAGAAAATAGAATTCTATAGAAAATAGAACAGAATAAAGTGCACATTAAAATGAAACAAACCAAAAAAGTCAAATGATCTTAAAAATTTTTATTAAGGTGTTTGAAGTTGACTCTAAAAAACAACAACATCTCTAAGACAAATCAACAATTCTCCTATCCCTCCTCCAGGCACACTTTAAAAGATTTGTTGTTAGAGATGGTTTCCTTGGCTGGGAAGGCATGAAAACACTTTCATTCTCCAAAATAAAGATGGAAAAGAACATTTCTAGAAGGTCAATCACACCAAGATTTTCATCCTCCCCTACTTTAGACATGAAGAACGGGGCCAGGACTGGGATGAGGCAAGTGAGATGCCTAGGGCCCAAATAATCAAAGCATATGTAGCTGTATCTGTCATGCTTCCCTACTTGGAGAAATAGAAGCATGGTTTGCTTGTTTTCATTCAAGAAAAAAAACAAAACAAAAAAAGGCTAATGTCAGTTTTATCATGAAATTAGCCCTAGGAATGCTATAGGACAATTTATCTCATTAAAATTAAAAGGGATGGGCCAGCGCGGTGGCTCACGCCTGTAATCCTAGCACTCTGGGAGGCAGAGGTGGGCGGATTGCTTGAGGTCAGGAGTTCAAAACCAGCCTGAGCAAGAGTGAGACCCCATCTCTACTATAAAGAAATTAATTGGCCAACTAATATATATAGAAAAAATTAGCAGGACATGGTGGTGGCATGCCTGTAGTCCCAGCTACGTGGGAGGCTGAGGCAGCAGGATCGCTTGAGCCCAGGAGTTTGAGTTTGCTGTGAGCTAGGCTGCCGGCCATGGCACTCACTCTAGCCTGGGCAACAAAGTGAGACTGTCTCAGGAAGAAAAAAAAAATTAAGGCCGAGCGCTGTGGCTCACGCCTGTAATCCTAGCTCTTGGGAGGCTGAGGCGGGCGGATTGCTCAAGGTCAGGAGTTCAAAACCAGCCTGAGCAAGAGCGAGACCCCGTCTCTACTATAAACAGAAAGAAATTAATTGGCCAACTGATATATATATATAAAAAATTAGCCGGGCATGGTGGCACATGCCTGTAGTCCCAGCTACTCGGGAGGCTGAGGCAGAAGGATCACTCGAGCCCAGGAGTTTGAGGTTGCTGTGAGCTAGGCTGACGCCACGGCACTCACTCTAGCCTGGACAACAAAGTGAGACTCTGTCTCAAAAAAAAAAAAAAAAAAAAAATTAAAAGGGACGAAAAGAAAATTAGTCTCACACTAGACCACAAACTCCCTATTTCTCAGTGGCAGAAAGAAAGAACCATATTTTTCTTCAGACAGGCCACTAAAGGAAACCCAAAGAAAGAAAAAGAAAAAGAAACAAAAAGGCTAACAACACATGCACACCCTCAAGACAATAATACCTATAGCAATATAGGGCTTATAATCAGTCCCATCTATTACTATCTCCAAACTTCAAATGAAAGCATACCTAATTTGGAGTCAGAAGACCCTGTTTCAAATCTCAACACTTACTCTTTCCCAACCTACTTTTCCATTTCTCCACTGCTTAAAATGAGAAAGCAGATTAAAAGGCTCTTGAAAAGCTCTTCGAATACTCCAAATCCTAACCTGTTCCCAATGCTGTATCTGGAGGCTTGCCTACACAGGAGCTGTCAGGTAAAATGCTGGCTGCTTGGGGCTTTTCAATTCTAGCACCTTTTTGAGACTTGCTAGGTTGCCCAGGCTGGTCTTGAATTCCTGGGCTCAAGCATTCTTCCCACCTCAGCCATTCAAGTACCTAGGACTACAGTTGTGCACCACAGTGCCCTAGTCTAGTACTTTTTTTTTTTTTTTTTTTTGTTTGAGACACAGTCTCACTCTGTTGCCTGGGCTAGAGTGCAGTGGCATCTGCCTAGCTCACAGCAACCTCAAACTCGTGGGCTGGAGCAATCCTGCTGCCTCAGCTTCCCAAGTAGCTGGGACTACAGGCATGCGCCACCATGCCCGGCTAAATTTTTCTATATAGATTAGTTGGCCAATTTATTTCTTTCTATTTTTAGTAGAGATGGGGTCTCACTCTTGCTCAGGCTGGTTTCAAACTCCTGACCTCGAGTAATCTTCCCGCCTCGGCCTCCTAGAATGCTAGGATTACAGGCATTAGCCACCAGGCTCAGCCTCTAGTACCTTTCTAAACTCCAAAAGGAAACAGAATAGAAAGAAAAGGAAATAAAGGAAAGAAGGAAGAAAGCCAAAAAGACATTTTTCCCAACAAATCTCAGAATTATTAAATAATTTAATTTGAAATGTTGTAAAATAAAGATTTTCCTTTAAAACCAGGTTGCACAGCTAAATACTCAGCAGTCAAAAGTAAGTTACCTCTCCCCCTTGAATTCCTGGGCTGTTAACACTTAAAGGTTACCAAGATACTCTTCACTAAAAGGGGTAGGGACTTTGTCAAGGTCCCAATTCAATTCTTCAGGAGTCAATAACTACTAAAGACTGTCCTTAAAATTCTATTTAGAGTGTTAAGGTAGGCACTTAAATTATCTGTTTGAGATTACAATCTTGATTTGGAAAAATAACCAAAAGGGAACACTTAAATTTGTTTACTGATGGAGGAATAAAGAAGTCTAGGACACCAACCTTTTCATTGTGGTATTTACTCTAGTAAGTTAAACTAGAACAACTATTTGTGTGAACTCAGAGAGCAAACAACAAAATGCAAAACTAAAAGATTTAACTAATACTGATTTCATGTAGTTTTTCCCACAAAATGTATTATCCTTTTAAACTAGGCCCTTTTCCTAACATACTGACCACCTCGATCAAATTTAATAAACCAAAAAGCGAGTGATGAAAATTTGTGTGTCCCCCACCCCCACCCTAGGGGCCTACTAGGCCATGATTTGCTTGAATATTATGGGTGTAGTATGAAATATTTAAAGCAATGACTAAAATTTTCCATAAAAGCCAATCCAAAGTCTAAAAGCTTTACTCCTCAGAAACAGATTCATTTCCAGACATTTAAAAGATTTACTATTCCACTTATAACACTCTGGTTTTTCTACATTTAATATTTAGGGAGAAGGTGATGAAGGGGGGAGAGAGAGGGTGTAATTAGTTTTGCTTGTAAAACGTTCATCACAGTTGTAGTGCCAACTGAGCTATACAGCCTTTTGGGGGTCTAATAGATTTCAGGGTATTATAGTTTGAGTAATAGAGGTTGGGGTTGTGGTGGAAATCAATAAATGGCCACTACTTCTTTGCATAGTCCCATATGGAAGTAATCAAGCGCAAGGGTGGCAGCTGGGGCCAATAACAGTCACCTGCAGTTGAGGGACATGGGGGTTTCAGATGGGTTTTTAATGCTAATTTCCTACAGAAACAATGAGCTAGAAAGAGCAGAGTAACAGACGAGGCCGGATGAAGAGAGACCAGCCAGAACAATGGCTGCACCTGGTGCCGGGAGCAGAGGGACAGAGCCGGCACGCGCCCGCCGCACCCGCCGTGCCCGCCAGCAGCAGAGGGCACATCTGTCACCCTCAAAGCAGCCCATCCCCCAGCTCTTCCAGCAGGGTAAGTAATGCAAGGTCCCTAAACATTAACAGCTTGTCACAGAGCAACAGGTTTGAGTTTTTAAGGCTGCTGCATTCTCTA